TTTATACTGTAAATGATGTTACAAAAATTTATGGTGATTTATTTTAACTGTTTAATATTATTTCTTTAATTAATGACTATTTAAAGGAATAAAACAAGGAAAAATAGAAATACCCACTGAAAAATATCTTTTATATTTTTTCCAGCCTAGTTATGTATAATAACAATTAAATAAAAAGTTTGGGTAATTTTAGAAACTGTTTTCTATTTATTTCAATTTTTATTGGAATAAATGCCCATAAATCATAAAATATAATTAAACAGCTTGAATATCCATTTTTATATTTTTCCCAGCCTTGTATTGTGTAATATCAGTTAAATAAAAAGTTTGGGAATTTTTATCCCTCGAATGCTATTTTTCGTGAATTTATGTTGTTATTGAGACTTAAAATTTGGAAAATTAACCTTCCAAGGTTGTAATTAATCGCACGACTTGTAAAATTTCAATACATCAGAAAAAGTGTAACAAATTGATATAAAATCCAATACTAAAACATAAATTGGCATTTCCCTATATGTAGAGTTTAGTATATTAGCATTAGATATCGACATGGAAACTCACTAGTGCGTGTGTTTGATGTCGTAGGATCCCGGTAGTAAGACGTTGGTGCATCCCGAAGTACCGCTTGTACATATACAAAACATCGTGAGTATTCACGCACTCCCCTATTTTCGGCTTTTATGTTTTGGGGTGGAAAAGCATGTCTAGAAAACTATTGTTTGCATGATGTATTTAAATTGTTTATTATCAAACATGATTGCTATTGTATTGCTATGTATCTTTATGTAAGTTTATGCAACACGGAACATGAGAACTTATCGTACTAAGGCCCTTCCCTTATCTCTAACCATTAACTCTTTGAGCGAATGGTCATTATGGATAGCGCTATTAGGAATTGACAACTCCTCACTCGCCCGAATCGCTGGAGTGCATGATACCATATTCATCTATGGAACGATAAGCATAGATCTCGATAGGGCTTCAGTCATAGGTTTGGTTGAGACTCACTGTTTGCTCATACACATACAAACGCGTTTCTCGTTCTAGCAATAAACTTGTATACCTTAATAGCAATCAACTTTGTTTTATCATTAAAGCAATGTACTCGTACTTACGAAAAGCATTATTGCACCCTCGATTTATAAACTTGTGATACTCACCAACTATTTTCATAGTTGATGCTCGTTTTACATGCTTTTTCAGGAAGTAATTAGTAAGTGGATGTAAAGATTCATCATCATAGAGCATGTTGCATCGTGTTGAAGCTATATTTTGAACAATGTTATTTTGAAAAACTTGTATTTTGTTTCTTTTGAAGCTATGGGTTGTAAACTCTTAAATACTGCTATGGTGATGTATCTTTATCTTTTGCATTGAAACCGTTATCGCTGTCATACCTTGCGTTTCCGCTTTAGCGGGGTGTGACAACGAGGACCGCTGATAGTCCACAGGCTTGCTGATAACCCATAGTTGTTTGTTTATGTGCTGATGTATGTGGTATCTTGGGGAAGTCACTAAGCTTTGTCGTTACAGTTGTTGATTTATGTGTTTCAGGTGCTTCGGAGAACCGCAAGATGGCGAATGTCTGATTGTACAAACTCACTGGGAGGATTGTTACTGGGATAGTTAGAGAAACTCTAATATTTTGTGATAATGATGATTCTGGATAACTATGTGTTTGATAACTTGGTTTCTGAAACTTGTTTTTCGGTAAATTAAAAACGAAAAAAAATTGGTCTAAGATTTGAGGTGTAACGTAAACATTGTTCTTAAAATAAATGGTGAATAAATGCAATTAAACATAATTATATAAATGTCCAAATATTTCAATGTATATTGTTGTTAAATTATACAAGAAATTGCTATGTAATAGCAACATACTTTTCTTTTAGTCTTTGTACGTGTTTACTTTATTTACTGTGCATAAGAAACTAAAACAACCTAATTACGTAAAATACCCATGCTCTAAGAAATTGTTATTTGTTTTTTTTAATCACCCATAATTTCCATGTTTGTGAGATAGCAGAAAAAAATATGTTGCTTTTTTTTGGCATATAATGTTGGGTAAAAGTGATTGTGTTAAGTAACATTGTAGTAAAGTATGATGGTAAAAATGGCTATTTTACACCTAAATACCAATTGTTTTGTTTCCCTTTTGTTCTTTATTGAGGAGTACTGACCGTTAGCAGTGGAGTGTATAGTATCAGACGAGGAGTCTTGGGTTTCTTGGCGTTTCTATTGGGGCAATTCCATGTAAGTGATGCTTGACACAATTATCACATTACCCATAGTTAATTTTGGTATGTTCATTAAATCCACATTAGTTTTAAAACTTAAACCAATTTTACAAATATATTTCGATAAATTTTCTATACTATGTCATTCTGGCAGTTAATAATCGACCCTCAATGGATATTTACCAACAAACTTGATCCTCGAGATTCAATCGTCCATTGGAAGTTTGTGCATGTGATATATTTCTTGCATGCTTATCAAAAGTCATTCAACTATCGTTGACATGTTCTATAACTCACATCGTATTGAAACAAAAAAGGAATCCAACTATACTTTAAATGCAAAGTCGCAATAAATATAGCACAATGTGTAAATATCAAAACACCGAGTAATCCAATAATCATCCAAATAAACTTTCCGACATACCTTTCATAAAATTGAATCTTTTTTGTTGAACTTTCTTATATTTAGAGAGTTTAACTTGAGGGAATGTAAGATGAAAAATATATGTACAATTTTACCTCATGTACATTATTAAGACCAGTTTCATCATGAAATTTAATTTTTAAATAAATATAATTGTCAGTGTACAATATTATTATGATTTCATTAAACACAATCATAAATTTAACTTTTCGTGAAAGCATTAATTTTGTAGCCGAACATTATAATAAGTTTGTTCTAATTACACCCTTTCATGATGAAAGGCTAAACAATGAATATGGTATACTCTATCTGGAATAATCACAATGTCAAATGATAGAAGACATTCTCAATTAAACAAGAAAGAAAAATGTATCAAGTGTTTTAGAAAAAAATATAAATAAAGATAAAAAAAAAAAAAGTTATGTATAGTAAGGAGTATTATGTATGGCCATTTACAAATATTTAAGATCTGTTAAAAAACTAGAAATAAAAATCCGGTACCACTGTATTCATCAAGAGACAAAAGTGTCATTTTGCGTAAGAGTTGGGTTGTATGTGAAGATATGAACAATTTTAGGGGAGGTTGATGCAAATCACCATGGCTAGAGATTAGGGTTAGGGTTGACGCCCACACTTTTCTTACTATATATAGATTTGATGTATGTTTTCAGATTTTTCCTGTGTTGAATATGTAATAATTTTAGTTTTTTTTTTGTATCAATTTATATTTTTTGTTACTAAAATTTGTCATAGCTGCCAGAAATCCATTACACATATGATATGCCTTTTTGGGGATCAAATGTATGATTTATACTGTACACCACTATAACCTTTCCACATTTAGTACATGCATTATAAAACCAAGGAGAGTCCTGCCTAATCCCTTTGATTGTTACAAGTAAAATAAACTTATATACTTTACTGTAACAATAACATAAGTAGATTAATAAAACATTGCACGTAAAAAATAAAATATATAATAAATAACTTTAAAGTTGATAATATACCTACAATGGCTCGATGGTATCTCAAACATTTTGTATTTCCTAATCACCTTTAAACTCAACATAACAAGAAAAAGTATGAGTTGGAATTACAGTTATACTACTTTTAGACTCTTTACCTTCATGAATACCTTCCAATCTGTTATTATGTACATTTTGTATTTCCTAATCACCTTTAAACTCAACATAACAAGAAAAAGTATGAGTTGGAATTACAGTTATACTACTTTTAGACTCTTTACCTTCATGAACACCTTCCAATCTGTTATTATGTAAAAAAAATAAGTTCGAATATGAAGGGGATCAAGATCAATAGTTATGCATCACATTAAAAGAGTGTAATAATGAAACTAACTTCTTCTTGTAATTGTTAATCTCAAAAAGGTCTGCATTAATAAACAAATTAGATGCCTCAAAATAAGATGAAACTCCACCAAGACCAGTAACAAAATCAAATAAAAAAACTCTTTTTATGTATGAAGTAGATATTAGACTAATAGCACAAACCAATCCAAACATTGAGTGTAGCAAACTCGCTAATTAAAATAACATAGTTTTTTTTTTTTTTTGTCATAGAATATAATAGTTGATGAGCTTCAACTCCAAACAAAGTAACCTTAAGCGATGCACCCCTACAATAATAAAGTAATAACTTTAAAACAACAATATACATATCTATGAGAAATATCACATAAAAAAGGTTAAAGAATTCACTCTATGATGCTTAGGGTCAACTTCATGTTTTGACTTGTTAGATTTGGATTAGATGTGTTTGGAGTATGTCGTGATATGACATGTCCGATAACATCTACAAATGTACAAAACAATAATATCAACTATGTGAATATTTTAAGGAATGTAAAAAATGAAGTAAAATAACTAACGAAAGGAATGTAAAAAATGAAGTAAAATAACTAACGAAAGGGAAAATGTTACTGTAGCACAAGTAACTTTTTTGTTTGGTCCGATTTGACCAATTACATTAATTTTTTTGCAGAATTGACCATCAATATTTTAATGTGGATGTCAATTACACAATTGTGACCGATTTTAGAAGGTTTCCCGGTTTTGCATCCTACCTGTCATTTTTTTCAATTGAAATTCTTAATGATGTGTATATTTGATCCATGTCATTTTAATGAAAGATATGAACACAGATCCTCATTTCACTCGTCTCCTTCCCCTCGTCCTCAATTTACTCTGCAGAAAGTAAACGGCGAGTCACAATTAGGTTTTCATTTTTGTGTCCAATCGGTATTAGTGTCGCCGATGGAGTTTTAAACGAAGCTAGTAGCATAAATAGGACAACCTAATCCTAATGTTGAACTTTTTGTGATGGTGGAGTTGAATTACCAAGATGTATTTATGCATGAGGTGATTAAAAAACTTTACCAATGTGAACCAGAAAAAGCTTTATGTGATGGCATTCGACCAATTTTAGATGATGTATATTACGTTGCATTTATTTATGATGCCTATGGCACAAATGACATAATTTGTATGTATGTTGGCCATGATGGTGATGGAGTTGTGGGACGGTTTGATGAAGAACAAAATGAAGGTGATGATAACGACTCATGTGTTGATGGTGTGGAAAATGAAGTTAATCTTAGGTATGTGGAGGTTGAAAATGATGAAGATGCTATCCCTATGAACATTACAGCTCATGTGTCACACCCCGCTAAACCGGAAACACGAGGCGTGGCAGCATAAAGGGTTTCATAGAAAAAGTTTAAAGAAAACACCAACCATAGTATTAAAAATCATTACAAATTTACAATGAGTTTGAACAACTTTTTAAAAGAAATTACAATGTATTTAAAAGTCAAGACATGCAAATGCTCCTACAAGTGTTGTGTCTCTACATGCCTCTTACTAGATGATTCCTAAAAAAACATGTAAAACGAGCGTCAACTATAAAAATAGCTGGTGAGTACTCACAAATTAAAAATAATGTTGGTTTCCAGAATCGAAATAAAAGTTTTGATAAAAGTTTCCATAAATAAAAGTATATTGCTTAAATTAGTTTTCACGATTCGAAATAATATTAATTGTTACAAGGAGCAAGCAATTTCATTGCTAAGACAAGTATATAAGTTTTCAGTAATAAAAGTTCGTTGCTATAAAGAGAAAAAAAGTTCGTTGCTATAGTAAGCATAAAAGTTTCGTTGCTAAAATAAGTATACAAGTTTCATCGCTAAAATAAGTATACAAGTGTCGTTGTTAACATGAGAATAAAAGCTTTGTTACTAAAATAAGTATACAAGTGTCGTTGCTAACATAAGAATACAAGTTTCGTATGTGCATCAAGTTTCCATTCATGGGTTCACAACCCAAGCCTAATGACCAAATCGTACCCTATTGACAACTATGTGTATCGCAAACATAGTGTATAAAATGGTAAAATGCACTCAACCAAATCGTGCGAGTGAGGAGTTGTCTACCTCCTCATAGCGCTATCCACAATAAGCATAGGCTCAAAAGAGTCATTGAGTTGGGTCTAGAGATTCCAAGGACTTAATTGCGACACAGTCCTCATGAATTAAAGTAACATACACATACATATGGAATATAACAACCAAGTTTCATATGAGTCAAAATAAATACAACGAATATAAATAGTTTAAGACATGATTTTCCACCCCAAAACATTTAAAAACCGAAAATAAGGGAGTGGTGAATACTCACAAGTATACTAGTCATAGTTTCAACTTTGACTTAAATAGTTTATTGGCATTTATATGTAGTGGTTCCGAGATTTATATGTAGTGGTTCCGAGATTCAAGTGAACTTGAAGAACCAAGTATACTAGTCATAGTTTCAACTTTGACTTAAGTTCCACGAGACTCTGACCTAATTTCTACTACTAGATCAGGTGCATAATGTGTGTGTATGATTCATGAAAAGGTGTTCGAGTCAAAAAGTGACCCGAATATGGATAGTCTCTACAATTAAGTAGTTATAGAATTTACATATCAATGTGAAATCTAAGTACACCATCCATTGTTTCTATTTGTTTCCAAGTTTCTATTAGGTTATAACCTAGCCTCTAGTTACTAAGTTGAGTATGTGTCGTGCCTATATGTGAAACTAAGTTTAGTCAAATCTAAAACTGACTCGAATTTTAACAGACCCAATTTCTACTACTAGGTCAAGTGCATAATGTGTGTATGATTCATGAAAAGGTGTTCGAGTCAAAGAGTGACCCGAATATGGATAGTCTCTACAGTTAAGTAGTTATAGAATTCACATATTAATGTGAAATCGAAGTACACCATCTATTGTTTCTATCTGTTTCCAAGTTTCTAGTAGGTTATAACTTAGCCTCTAGTTACTAAGTTGAGTATGTGTTGTGCCTATATATGAAACTATGTTTAGTCAAATCTAAAACCGACTCAAATTTTGATGGTTGTCACATCATGATCCTTTCTCGAGTCAATTATGTGTTGAACGGGGTTTTGATGATGATGAAAATGACTTTGTAAATGATAATAATGGGAAGGAAATCCATGATTTACTACAAACGCATTCCATTTTAATGAGAGTTTACACTGGAAAAAACAAAAGCCCATACTTGGAATGAAATTTAAGGATCCAAAACAATTGAAAAACATGTTGTGCAATTATGATGTGGCTAATAGGTGACAATTATGTTTTGAAAAGAATGACATACATACACTTCTTGTTAGGTATTGTAAATATGCATGCACTTTTAGGCTATAGACATCTTGGATGAGTGAAGAAGCTAGTTTCCCGATCAATTCTTTGAAGAATAAGCGTAAGTGTGGTAGGAATTTTAAGTTAGGCTCATTGGTTACATATTCATGGATTGAGGCCACTATTCCAAATTTTTTTTACATAGGCAGAAAATGAGTGTGATGAAACTTATACTAGAAGTGATCAAAAAGTTTTGTGTGAATGTTAGAATAGGGCAATGCAGAACAACAAAAACATACTCAATGGAACTAAAAGAGGGCAATCTTAAGGATCATTATGCAAAACTCTGGTCATATAGCCAAGAGATTATGAGAACAAATCCAGGTTCTACTATTAAACTTGAGGTGTATCATATGCCCGATGAAGTATAACTTTTAACAACACATCCGCATTTAAAATTTTACACTTGCACTTTTATTAATTCATTTTCTTGTGTGGTGAAGTATAATTCTTTAAAGATTAAAATTTATTATATTTTAGCATAAATGTTTTTGTTGTCAAGATTGATTTTTTTTTTTTATGGATAGAACAAAAAAGGTAATGGAATGAGTTATTCTATTCCATTCCTTCCCAGATTCCATCATTACCAAAGATCGGGTATTATAGTTTTTATTGGGTAAAATGAAAGAAAACCTGATAACGTGTGACTTTATGTCCAGATGCTAATAACAAATCATGGATAATTTTATCATTTGGCTATTATAGTTTTTATTGGGTTAAAACATATCTTATCTATCATGGAAAACGTATAATAAGAAAAATATGTCACATAATTCACATTAATCTTGATTCAAAACACAACATGCAAAAGTTGTAATAAATGTTGATCTATATACAAATTCTAACATCAGTAGTAACCAAAATGACCAAAAGTAAAATGACTATATCCAAACAACGTTTATTTGTATGAAATATCTAGTACGTAACGACATATTTAACCCTGATTAGGTAACAAATGGTGATCCTAAACCACTCTGTGATTCAAAATTCTATCAACAATTACTATAAGAAATTTTTGAGACTATCGATATGGAATCCTTAGAGGAAGATATACCAAAATGAAAATATTGTCCTTTTTAGTTCTCTAAACCTTCTTTGACGTACCTGAAAGAAAGTAAGCAAACCAAACCATGAATGAAAGGGCGTTTTGGTCATTTGATCAACACTCAACTCATGACATTTTTTAAATATGTCAATGGGGGCAAGAATTGGAACAAAGTTATATTGTGTCATTTTTTAAATCTATCAATGGGGGCAAGAAATGCTACATAATTACAAAAATACATGATACTTCCTTCTATATTGCTTCAATTGCAACTATCATTGTTTTTTTTCCTTTAGTGTCGTCTCCGTCTATGTTTTTGCAAACAAAAATGTATTAAATACATACATAATACTATCCTCATATGTTTCAAATTTACATTCAAATTATATTTTTTATTTTTAGATAATATAAATGTATTAAAGGTATACTTTATCATTTTGTCACATCACTATTATATTGTGTTTGTTTCTTCCACAAATAACGCGATCTTCCACATGTAATACATTCATGTAGATTTGCATGCTCATTTCTATACAACATACAATCATTTGGACATGCATGTATTCTTTCGATTCCCAAAATCCAAAACTAGAAGTTTGTTACCAAAGTTGGTTACTTTTCTGTATCTGCAATTTGCCCCCTTTTGAGGTGGAAACTAATCAGTCGACCTAAATGATTATCTGACTAGCTATATTTCAGAGTGGAGGATATCATTTCCAAGTATCATAAAAGTAACCTTAGTGAAGAAGAGATAACCAACCAAGAAGGTGCTTGCCAAGATATGGTAAGTAGTTTGTATTCTATAATTTTGTGCTCAATCTTGATGCCACTAGATAACACTCATTGTTCCATTACATAGGGAGTTAACAAGACGTGCACAAGATTCAAAACATGCAATCAGCTTCTCGAGTCGGTAAGCAGGTATTCATATTTTGTGCTCAATCTTGATGTCACTAGACAACACTAATTGTTTTTACAGCTGATTATCCACTAATCAAATAAGCCAATTTTCCATAATCAAATAAGCTAATTATTGCATTTCTATAATTATAATAGGTCACAATCATACTTTAATAATTAAGCAACTGTATAAGTAGGGATCAAGTATTATGATTGATTAAACGTCATTGGGTAGTATATATATTTTTTCAATAAAGATAATACCAGCCGAAATTTTGTTGGCTTTCACTGGATCTCAAGATAATGCATCTACATTGTATTTCCTTTTCTGGAATAGATCTTAGAGGCAAACCATATATCATTATACATTTTAGGATTAATAGCCATGCCTATTTCTTATTATATGTTTTGTGGTTTTGATTTGGATCTGTTACATTCCATGGCCTATTTCAAAAAACTTTATTATGGATCTTAATCTGATATTTTGATAGGCTTTATGAAAAAGGGAAAGTGGTCTATGTCAGTGAAAGTTGATATATTAAAATTGATTGGTATGAACTTAGTACTCAAGGTCTGTCAAGGACTGTTAAGTAGCATTTAACAAGAGGGTGTTTGAATTTTAAGATTACAAGTTCATCTAGTTAAAATTAAACAATATGTTTTCAAAATAGAGATCTTACCATTTGATTTGGCATCTCGATCACAGCCAAAACGCTTCCTTATCGTTTGTGAAACAGTTGTAGTTCCTTTGTATTTCTGCCTGTGTTTTTCTGTTGCAAAAACATAAATCAAAGCTCTTACGCTTTAAATTTGAACCGCTACCTGTGTTTGTCTATTGCAAAAACATAAATCAAAGCTCTTACCCTTTAAAATCGAACCACGGGTGTGGTTAATTTGTATGATCATGATGGTCCTGTGGTGGGATTTTCAGGTTGGTTGAATTATTGGTGGTGCGAGGCGAGGCTGGCCGGTGATGATGGTGTTGTGACACGGGAGATGGAGATGAAGGACAGATTAGTGGTGTTGAGATGGAGAAAGGGTGGTGTTAAGG